AGGAGGAGGAGGAGGAGAGAGAGAGAGAGAGAGAGAGAGAGAGAGAGAGAGAGAGAGAGAGAGAGAGAGAGAGAGAGAGAGCTGACGCGTGGCTCAAGGCAACGGTACGGATTCGACGACGAGGGGCAGCGAGGACGAGCTGCCCAACGGGCAGCGACGACGGGCAGCGGCGGCGGCAGTGACGAGGGCACCTCGGCGATGGCGGGCAGCAACGGCTGTCGACGGGGAGGGCAGCGACGGGCGGGGCGGGAGTACAACCTCGGCAGCGACGGGCAGGAGCACTACCTCAGCAGCGACGGGCCGGAGTACCTCGGGAGCGACGGGTGGGAGTACCTCGGCAGCGATGGGCGGGAGTGCTACGGTGCTACCTCGGCAGCGACGGGATGCTCCGAATTCAAAGCGCGCGCGGGAACAATTTTGCGCGGGGGGGCGGGGAGGCTCCCAAGGCCCAGAACTGTCGAAACTGGCCTCCCCCCCCCCCCGCACAAAAATGCGCTGGGCCCGCCCGGCATACAACCGGGGGACCCAACCGGCCGGGCCGCCCGGGACCCCTGCCAGACGGAGGCTGGGCCGCCGGGCGGCCCGGAATTTAACACAGCTTTTTTTTTTTTTTTCCCTTCCTTTTCTCTGTTTCTGAAGTCGTTAATGTTTGGCCCGCTATAAAGAGGAGACTAAATTCGCGTATGAAGTTTGAACCAGTCGATCGTCATCCGTACAGATCCATAGTCTATCATCGCCATACGAGAACGATAAGCTAGGACAGACACATGTCAACTTACCCTTCGGCTTGTGTGCGGCTGACAATCCCCCTCAATGTTTTTTTCAATCTTTTTCTTATTTTAATCTCCTTAAAACTCGTGAGAGAATATTGATTTGTAAGAGCAGGCATCCGCCTTGCAAGTGGCGGCCGTGCCTGGAATGTCTTGCCTTGTTGTGTTCGATCCTGGGCTCGATCGTTGGCCGCGTCGTGATTATGCCTGCCTTGATTGATTGCTTACAGGTACAGAGAATGAATGCAAGGCTCTTCTAGAACGTGGCAGCTTGTGCAGTTGGGAGGGGGGGGAGAGAGAGAGAGAGAGAGAGAGAGAGAGAGAGAGAGAGAGAGAGAGAGAGAGAG